ATAAATTAAATGAAGAAAAGCTCAAATTAAATTGAAAAAATTGAAAATTTTTCAGAAATTTTGAAATTTGAGAAATTGGTCCCGACGCGATCTTAATTTCTAATTTTTTCAGAATGGGTTGAGGCAAGGTGGCCTCGGAACAAAACCAGAAAATTTTATCAAAAAAATACAAATGAATTGGTTAAAAGCTCTATTTTCCTTCTGAAGAAAACAGAGTTTCTTCCTAATCCACAGCCCCGATCTCTCCAGACTCAGAAGCAGAAACTGGGTCCGACACTGATAGATCCTGAACAACAACCAACATAAAAACAAAGGAACATCATAATGTAGACAGTTCAACGGACTATGAACACATCCGCTGCAATCAACACCCCATCGAAATCTTTATTATTTTCTTTCTACCAAGGGAAGTTCTGAAATCGGAACACTTTAGAGAGAAAGAGCTGTACCCTGAGCCAATCGTGTGGTGTCACACCACCTGCAAACAGATTTTTCAGAATAGATTCCAACTAGCAACTCATTATAAATATTAATTCACTCCAAACCTTCTTGTTGTGTGGAAATCGAATATCAACCTTCAGCATTCAGTTCTCATATGATAGGGACACACTAGCTCTTCCTCTCAACAAATCCGACTTCTATAATCATCGACTAACCTCTTAGATAATCCAGAATGAGTTTGACAATGTTAAACTCGTTCATGTCCTCATACAGGTGATCGAAGGAATTAAAAAAAGCTCGACGAACACGAGCTACTGCCTGAGTATCCACATAGGTTTTGCCCTGCTTAATGAGATTATAAAAATCTAGAAATCTCTGTTAACAGCTATGCCCAGGAAGTCAGCTCTCTTCGCTCGTGTGCAATTTTCAAGGATATAGTGGAAATCTTCTGAAAAGATAGATTATAGAAGAACCATTGAGTATGCTTACTTTTTGAAATCTGCAGACGCCTTCTGCGTGGACGTTGCCTCACAGGCACTCCAGGTTATCGTTAACCCTCCTGACCAACGAAGACAGTGTGAAATTATGAGAAAATGGTTGGTCCAAGATATGAGACGCAAGTAAGAAAGCATCTGAAAGAACGGCAGTCCTCAGTCAACAGGAATGACTTCTCCTTCTCCGTTTCGGGATGCCATCTTGGGGTCTTCCAGTCATTTTCGTTAGTATGCCTGTGAGAAAAATGAAAATGAAAAATTCTATTCTTGCGAAGTCAAGATACCTTCAAACGATTGATAACATCCACCTTCCTTGGACTACCCTCCCTATTCATCTTCGTTTACCATGTTCCGATAGTCACGAATGTACAGCTGTGAGGAGAGTAATGCATCACTGTCCTAAAGTGATAATCGCTTTTCGGTCAAGCAAAAAGTACGAGACACTTTCGTTCTGACGGTTGGTAGCTGCAAGACAGAATAAAAACTACTCTACTAAAATTCCCACCAACCTACATACACCGTGGTCTCCTTGTTCCGGACACCAGTCGATGTCACACTTCTCCTCAATCATGAC